AAAAATATTATTTTTGTGGTCAATTGGGTGACGTTATCAATAATGCCGTCACTTGGCACAATAACAGTTGCATTCGGGGTGGCCGAATGTGCCCCGGCAAAAGGGGCCGAACGTGCCCCAAATTGATATATTCATAAAAAAACAACAACATTGATTGTCTGTGTCCACTGTGCCATACTCGGAGTCGTTTGCGCCAGGCGTGAGTTTCTCAATTTACTCAATCGAGCTGTTTAGTTCCGCCTGGAACTGTCCATTAATGCAATGGACATTTCTAAACTTCATACATTTTTGTACTAACTATTAACACTGTATCATATCTGAGGAATTACATATGTATACTATATATTCAAAACTTAAACTCCACTTTATAGTATCAGCAAGAAAAAATAATGTCATGAAAACCTATACTTGTCAAAATCATGTGCAAGCCCGGGCTTATTGGCTTACATGGTAGCTACGCGCCTGGTTTGTAAAATCTCATTATGTTGAATCTGATGATGTTGACTGTGACAAATCTGATGATGTTGACTGACAAATCTGATGATGTTGACTGTGACAAATCTGATGATGTTGACTGTGACAAATCTGATGATGTTGACTGAGACAAATCTGATGAAGTTTATTTCGAGTTTAAAACTGGCTGATGCTGATCACGAGAGCAGCATAATTATGTTGCTATACAATCTTTCGTTTTGATTTAAGATAAATTGATCTAGGTAGGTTGACCTTAGATATATATTTCGAATTAATATATTCTTATTTTATCTGTTTTCAAACTGGAATCAATGTACTGACGTCATTATTACCTATCATACAACCATACGTATTTTGTTATAAAATGAAACAGCTGTGCAAAACGGGAGGGCTAGAATTAACCTGTTATGATGAAAGACGCATATGCCTATGTAAGTAGCACACCAGTGATCAAATAACGCCGAGTCTTTCATCATTAAGTGCGGAAAAGGTGAGTGGGCTTGCTCTTTATATCAGTTTATTTAACTATTATTTTAAAAGAATTATCATAAGTGCACTTCTGTGAAATTTGGAGTAGAAATGACATCGCTGAAGGTATCTGATGAATCATTCCACTTTATACAGTGTTTATTTTCGGTAATATTTACACTTGTATTACCTATAAAACGTTTGCTGTATGTTCTTTAACTCTTTCACACAGTTAGTTACTGTATATTGTGATTATATAATACCTATTTGAAAAAGGTTATATTATGATTCGCACAAATGCACTATTTTTAGAATAGGGGTTGTCATTTTGGCCATTTAGATACATAGAGAATATAACAATGGTGTTTTATCTGTTGAATCCCCATGTAAGTGACCGTTCCCTTACGTACATTTATAAGTTGTAAGTGTACCAATACATGTTCAATGTAAGCTTAAGGCTGGTGTGTACATATCTTACCAGGCTGGTGTCAGTACTAAGTGCAGCTAGTGTGAACCCAAACACGTGTACATGGACGAGGCATTGCACACGATCGATGTCCTCTAACAATACAACACACGTGTAAAAACACACCAGCTCAAATCAATAGTCTTACTACGGTAGTGTACAATACCGATTCAATACAGCCGACATCTTCTCAAAAGACTGACCTCGTATCACAGTAATCCGGCCGATAAACAAGCTATAAACTATACTCACTCTGTTGTGTCGTCGTGTCCCAATAAAACACGTGTTCAGTCATGGCTAGCTCCAAACATGAGTGTAACAATACCACAGCAAGCAAAATTAAAACCGTGAAATGGTCGGTGAGTCCGGATCTGTGTACAATCCGAGAGGCTCTACACTGAGGTGGAGGTCAAGTGCCTTCCCAGGATCACACACACTAATACTGTGCGTGCCCGTTTGATAATCAAGCTGTGCGGTTTCAGCATTATGTTTAACTTCATCGAAAAAAAAAAAGATGATATCAACTGCATAGTTATATATTATATGCAAAATAGGCCTATACAGCTGTTATCATCAAATATATAAATATAAATGTTCTACGTGTATTCAGAGACGTATATATATTACACATATATATATACGTTTCTGATGTATGTATATATATACAATGTACATGTGTATGATAAATGTAACGACGATTGTTTTGGGGGGAAAAATATCGTCTGGGGGGGTCGGAGTTGGGATTCTTAATAAGAGCCGGAATGATGACACGGATATGCTTGTTGCTGTTCAATGTATTATTTTGTATTCAAGAATTCCACAGATTGTTAAGTGCAATATAACAAAGTTGTATACAGATAGTACATATAAATCTCCCTGAGGAGTATACCGCTAGTCCTAGCGTGGCCTCTCGAGTCGGAGACCTGACTCGGCCGAATCTATTTTCTAACTATCCACACTTCAATTTATACCTATGTTAAGTGTCCACATGTGTAGCAAATGTCATTGTAAAATGTCAGATAGCTTAAAGCTTATACATCAATGATAGATATTCCTATTCAAACACTAGGTTAAAGCTGACAGTGCAAGTTAAAATCTTTCAATTGAGATTATAATGTAAAAAAAGAGACCTTTCTATCTCTTCCTTCTACCGTTTCTAAGGAAGTGCCGACATTTTAGTTTGTCCTTACTTGGTAACGAGTATGGAACTCGCTGGGTATAAAAGGCGCAGTACCCGTCAAATCAGTTATCATTTGTTCAATATGTGCACAAGGTGACACTATTTTACTATATATATATACAGAACACTTTCACGCACGATTTTTTTCAACATTTTGTATCAGATCAGATGAATGAAATTGAAATGAAACACATCAAAGATATCATTTATCTAATGAAAGTGGAAATAGTAAAATACGACCAATTAAAACATATAATGCACANTAATTCCAATAATTCCAATAATTTCCATGAGAACGGTTCAAATTTTACATTGTTGACTAGTGTCGCATTTTGCACGTGTTTTTCTAGTAAAGCGTCTACACGACGAAGACTAAGAGTTCATAATAAAGTTTTCGTGTGCTGGTGCATTTATATGCACGAGAAAGACCGATGATACATATATCATATATATATGAAGTATGTTCAGTAATTTACCTTTTATTTTGAATACACAATTTTCAAGAATGTGCCATAAGAAACAACCATCTTGGCAGTGTTTCAAAGTATTCAGGTGAGTGTGTTTGATTTTTGATATCGGTTGCCGATCAGGGTGCGCGGTGCATTGAATCGCATGACGGTCAGTTGTAGAATGATAACCGGTTTGACAGGTAATGCGCTTTTTATACCAAGCGAGACCCATACTCGTTACCAATCAAGGACACACTAAAATGTCGGCACTACGTTAGACACGATAGTCGGAAGATATGGGGAATATCTCAAAACCAGAAAAAAAAATCAAAAGATATAAAAATATTTTAATCTCAATTAAAAGCTTTTTAACTTGCACTGTCAGCTTTAAGGTCGGCAGGAAGATAATTATTATAAGGGAATACAAAATATCAAACAATATTGATATGGTTCAGATTTGACCAGAACGAAATATTGCCCCTGAGGCGTATTACAAGATACAAGAAATTGTATTTATAGTCGTATATATATGAGAACAGAAACATTTAGCTCTGAAGAGCTATTATTACGACAACACATAAGAAAAATAATACAGCAAGGTTTCGAAGATATAAAACAACTATTGCTAAGTATGAGAGATTTGATTAAAGCATATCAATTAAAAGTACATAGATAATAGCAAGCACAAAATCTCATTCAAAACTGTTGGCTGACTAAAAGCACATGGCTATATATATATAATATAGATGCTAATATAGCAAAGTGTAAAAAAAAAAATCCCAATATGCACTAGTATAGTACAATCTAAAATACATACAGAGTGTATGGAGCATGATAAGGAATAGTAAAAAATATGTTAAGAGGAATAATTAAAACATAAGATGACTATAAGCACTAAACACAAATTACATAACGACAGAGCACAGCAAGCAAACCACTTGACTTTAAAGCATTACCAGCAAACTACACAACAAGAAAAAGCACTAGAAGGTAATATAATTGGCAAGTAATGCCAGCAAAGCATATGACATGCAAAGCCCCTCAAGCACGCTACACAACAAGCGAGAACCATAGTGAAATTATAAAACAATATGTAGTATAAGAAATATGCAAGAAAAATATAAATATATAAAACAAAACAGTGACAAACTAGCGTGAACACAAGGAGCAGCTGCAGATTGAGTCATCCAGGGTGCCGAACAGTCTGGAATAAAACCGGAAAAGAACGAGCTGTCCTGGGCTCATTAGGCAGACTGTTCCAAACTATGGCTGGCAAAAAGCGAAAGGACTTCAAGCCAAACCTGGTGGTGTTCACTCTTGGAATCTCGACTGTGGTTTCTTTCCTGAGATTATAAGAAACATTTTTAAGCATGATATGATCTTGAATATATGCAGGTGATAAAATATTTACAATCTTAAAAGCCTCTTTGGCCATCAAATTAATACGCCTTACATGTAAACAATCCAACTTACAGTTCATCAAAATAGTATAAAAAGGGGCAGTGTGGTCATCTACCACAAAACGTAAGGCTCGTTCCTGTATTTTCCCATTTTTGATGTACTGCTTTTACTGCAGAAGTTCCAGGCTAGAGGGCTATTATTAAAATTTGACAGAATAAAAGATTGAAATATGGCCATTCTGCTTTGTTTAGATATAAATTTACCAACTCTTTTGGGAACAGCTAGTTGTTTAGCAGCTTTTCTACAAATGTTAGAGATGTGGGTATCAAACTTGAGGTTGTGGTCAATATTGACACCCAGAAGATTTACAGATTCTACACACTGTATAACAGAATCCGAGATGTTAAAAGATCTGGTGCTGCTACATGTATTAGCCTTGGTGCCAACACAAATAGCTTGAAATTTGTCAGGGTTGGCTTCATACAATACTATTGTGTTCGAACCTGGATATGAGCTTATAAATTGGATTCTTTTTCTAAAACATTTTTCAAAACATGCTCAGATTCAGATTCTTTATTTCCTTATGTTTACAACACATCGGAGAGTAGACATACATATGTACAAGATNCATGGGTGTAGGATCAAGTATCAAGTAGGATCAAGTATTATCATCAGCACAGTTGTTTAAAATACCATCCTTGGTAGTAAGAAAAATGTCATTTATAAAACATATTGAATAAAAGGGGTCCTATAATTGACCCTTAGGGTACCCCCTTCGCAAGCTGCATCAAGTCACTGACCGAGGGCCCCAGTCGAATCTGATGCGTTCTGTTGGATAGATAGCTGCTGATGAGGGCTACAGCCCCTCTTTCAAGCCCATAGGCCCGCAGCTTCTCCACCAAGAGATTGTGATGGAGACAGTCAAACGCCTTGGAGAGATCCATAAGTATAGTACCGACCAACTTATTCTCATCATTCGCCAGTCCTCCAGGAGACGCAACAGGGTAGACTGGCACCACAAGCCAGCCCTGATGGTAGCCAGGAAGGGGTTGACTATATTTTGAAAGTAACTATTTAATTGATCATGTAAAATACGTTCAAAGACCTTAGACATGGCTGGCAGTTTACTGATGGGGCTATAGTTGGCTTTGTCTAAGGGGTCATTTTTATTAGATAGGAATGACTTGTGCCCGCTTCAAAGAGTTCGGAAAGGATTACTTTTTAATACAATGATTCGTTAGAGTTGATAGGGGGTTTCATGGAGAAGAGGTACTAGAGTTTAGAATTCTAGCAGGAATGCCATACACTCAAGCATTTTTTTTACATTTTAATTTGCTTAAAGCTTTGGAGAGGGTGTTTGGACTAATTGGGGCACATTTAAAACTGCGATCTATGTGTAGATTGGAAGAAGTGGATTTGACACTGTCATGAGTAGATAGGTCTGATACAGACTCAAGAGTTTGGCCTGTATCAGTGGTCACGTAAGTAACATAAATTCTCGTTTGATCTTAATAACGAGATTTCTCTGGGTTTTGTATAATATCCAAATTTAAGGTGTACTATATTTCTTAAACTGGTTAAAAAACTGGTTTTATTTTCTTATAAACAGCCCGCCTAAGCTTACTTTTAAAATAGGGTAATCTAGGCACTTTCTCTAAGTGGGGCATGTTCATCAATAATGAGCAAGGTCTCATGTGCCCAATAAATATCATCTGTATCATCAAAAACATATGTAGCATGAAAAGGAATTTCAATTTCAATAAATTTTATTGTTAAAGGACAAATGGATTGGGCAGCAGGCAATCATATTGATGGCTTGGTTAGAAGATTTTACAAAACAAGTGACTGACTTGACCAAGTTTGTTAGCTTAAAAATATCACATAAGTCAAACAATACATTACCCCTAGTCTGGTTCAAGCAGTCAAAATTAAGATCGCCAATCATTAAAAATTTTCAAAAATAGTAGAAATGTTGTCAAGACCTATAGTCATATTTTCCCTGAATAGGTTATCGGACATGGACGGGGGTTTATAAGCCCGTACAAATGCCCATCTCCTATTATTAACAGAACATTCTACCACTAAAGACTCAATCTCAGACAGTTCTAAATCAGGCCTACGCCTGGCTGGTAAGTCAGAGCGAACATTAGCTAATAAGCCGCCTCACAGGTACATAGGAATTAGTTATCAGTTGAAATCGAAAATAA